TCGTCCGCGTAGCCGTGGTGCCAGGCGCGCTGGGGCTGCGGATGCTGCAGCGGCGGCGGTGAGTAGGAGGCGGCGATGTTCCGCTGGGGACTGAAGGGTCGGCTGTGGTCGTGCGATGCGCGCGGCGACGTGGCGCCGTCGGTCGTGGGTGGAGAGAAGGGCCGGTTGTGCTCCGGGGGAGAGCTCTGGTAGGGCGCGAAGTCCATCGCGGGTCGGTCTTTTGTCTTTGACCCTCTATTTACTGCTTTTTCTGCTTCTTCTGTCTCCTTTCTGCTCCTGCTTTCCGCGTCGCGCGAGTCTCGCGCAGTCGTCGGTCGTCTCGTGTGTATGTGCTCGAAGATCAAGGGACCTCGAGCTGAGCTCGGTGCTGCTGCCTGCCTGCCTGGTCCGATCTTCGGTCTCCTTTTCGTATGTGTAACTGTTGCTTCCTCTCCCTCTGTCTCTCAGTTGATCGACCCTAGCCAATCCCGGAAGCGATTAATTACTGTTGACGCGCGTACGGCGGTGAGCCGTTATTCGTAATCGATCGATGTCTGTGGTACGTGTGGTCGGGATGGGTGGATGGATGGAGGGGAGGATGGCGTGGAGGCTGTCGTAGGTAATTTTGAGCCCCGGCGAAGGGAATGAATGAACGAAGGAAGGAGTGAATGCGACGGTGCCTACCTACATAATCTGGAAGGCGAAGCAAGACCCCAGACTGGATCCCCAAGCTGGAGCTTGCTGCTGACGCCAATGAGAGGAACTCCCGTCGCCTGTCGCTCATTTTAGTATGCATCTAGTGTGTTCAGCTAAGCCTATTCAAGCAGTTTACTGACCCACTCTCAATAGATTGGGGTACTTCAAGTAGGTTTTATCGTATTGCAGTCAAGCACTGGAGAGGTATTCGCGGTACTTGTCTCATACTTATTATAGATAATCTTTCATAGCATACATCTTGAAGGCATTTAGTAGGTAGCATGGTATGTTGCATCGAAAAAGGACCCAATTCTGCGCTGATTTATTCTACCAAGTAGAAATGAACGTATTCATATTCATACCAATAATACGAAGTACCTAGGCCGGGTTCGAACAAAATCGGTCATGGGATTTGCTGGGCACGTGCACCACTATGCATCTTAGTAGGTATTACAATGAGATTCGTGTACATACGTTGCTCTAGGTATACTATTATACATAGCTTGACGGCGCATACAAATAGATTCCGTATGTCTTCTAAGTGCTTGCTTTGCTTTCTTCTCCGTCCTTTGGCTTGCCTCCATTTGCCTCTTCGTCTAATTGCGTCCGTCTGCTCTCGAGAGCAAGCCACAGCCCCTTGCTCTGGCCCTCTAGGGCTGTCGTAAGACCAAGACCGGCAGAATGTAATAGGGAGACGAGCTGTGCCCGTAGCCCATCGAGGCCGCTTTCAATGCCACCAACCCACTTGACTCCGTCGTTGTCGAAGGCCTTGCCGTCTATCCTGCCACCAATGAGGAGCAGCTTCTGGAACCCGCTCTGGGCGAGAGGGTCGTAGTATCCGGGGTTCTTCTTCCGCGTGGGAGCCGGGAACGCCGGCGCAGACGGTGCGAGGATGCGGAGCACGGCCGCCAGGTGTTGTGGTGAGACCGCGGGGAAGGTGACGGCGGCCAGGGGCCCGGTCAGTAACGGGCTGAGCTGGCTGTAGGCGGACGATGGGTCCGGGGTAGCGTTCTTGATCGACTCGTAGGCCGTCGTGGACAGATCGTGCGTGTACGCATTCGACTTGGCGGCCTGCTCTTCGGGCTTGAAGTATTCGGTGATCTTGCAGGCGACGTCGAACATGCGCGTGCGCAACACCTGGAGCTCGATGTGGCGCGCGATATCGACGGGCACAGTACCGTCGGGTGCAGCCACGGGGGCTGGGATCTGGGCCAGGGCGGCCCGCAACTCACGGCGCACGGCGGCCCATTCCACGGCAGTGAGATTGCTGTGCTGGAAGAAGAGCATCAGCGGCGTCGACTGCAGCAGCGCCGTGTACGACCGCAGCACCTGTGTCTTGCGCAGCTCTGGCCGTCGTGCACTGGGCGGCTGTGTGGGCGGAATGTAGTTGTCGGGCAGCTTTAGTGCACCTAAAGGCACAGGAGAGCGTGCCGTCGCATACTGCCTCGACGTAGGCTTTGCCGCGATCTGCGCTATCGGGGCTGTCAAGGCCGGCGCTCTCGTTATTGTGCTTGTCGTCGTCGTTTGTTGCAAAGCTCGCCCGACGCTGCTGCGCGCAGAGCAGCTCAGCCGTGGCGGCATTACGGGCAATTGATCGGATTCCTCAGGTCCTGCCTGGATTCAATTGTTCAGGCCCCTCTCTTTGACGTTGATGCGCTGGTTGCCGTCGAGCTAGGAGCGTGATCGCTGCTCTCTTTCCACCTTCAAACTAAGGGCCGACTTGTCGCAAAAAGCTTGGGCGAAAATAAGTGGAACATAATCGTCTTGCTCCTCAAGTGCGTTAAGGCACAGGCGGGACAGGGGGTAAGTGCAATTAGTGTAAGGTACTCCGTACCTCTCGAAGTCAAGTCGGAGGTCGGAGGTTACCACATTCAATTTCAAGAATCCTGCCCTATTCCACCGCCCTGATTGATTGATTAATTGATTGATAACTTGGAGAAGGTACGATAAGGACCCTTGTTTCTGCAACAACTTACCCCTGTCGCTACCTACCCCGCCATCACCCGCGGGGCAGTTGAGATCACTGGCAACAGCTAGCGACCGCAACGGCTCTGACGGCGGATCTCTTACCCCTTGAGTCACCCGTGTGGGTGGGATGAGTCTGCTGCATCCCGACGTGTCGCAAGTCAATTGCGCTCTTCTAAACCATGTCATGATTCCCCCTGCTTCTCTTTCCCCCTCTTCTCGATTTCTAATCTCTGTTACACCTCGGGGACGGCTTACAAGAGCCTGCCTGATACTCAGATCGACTCTCTAAATCGGTTGTCTCTCGAGTCGGCGCAGCTTCTCTGCCATACGCCTACAAAACAATATGGCCGGGACGACACAGGACCAGCCGGACCTGGTCGACATTCGGCCATTGCTGCAGCGTCTCTGGCCCGACCCAGAAAAGGAAAACGTCACGGCCCAGGAAATCGCCGACGCTATCTCGTTGATTTTTGTTAACAAGCTCAGCCCCGTGCAAACGGGCTCCCTGCTGACGGCGCTGCACTTCACGGGCTGGGACCGCCGTGCCGATGTCTTGGCCGAAGCCTCGGCCGCGATGCGCCGGCACGCGGCCAAGATCGATTTTCCCGCCCTAAAAGAGGCAATCGCAACTGGGAGGCGGCCGGAGGGACAGTATCTTGGCGGATTGGTGAGCGCTCCCGCACGACGGACTTGTTGCGATTGCGACTGCGACGGCGCGACAACGCCAGATTTGGTCATACCCTGCGCAAAACACAGGATCTCAAACACGCGGCACAAAGCCAAATGCTAAAACACCAAATTACTAAATACCAAATACTGACCTATAATTATCCTGCAGTGCGACATTGTCGGCACCGGAGGCGACTCACACCACACCTTCAACATCTCCACCACGTCGTCTATCCTCGCCTCCTCTTTGCTCCTCCTCGCTAAGCACGGGAACCGTGCGTCGACCTCCAAATCTGGCTCCGCCGATCTGCTCATGAACATGCAACCACTGCCCGCCCAGCTCGCTCGCATCACCCCCGATACCATCACAACCGTCTACCAGTCCACCCGCTATGCCTTCCTGTTCGCCCCCGTCTTCCACCCCGGTATGCGGTACGTTGCGTCCATCCGTAGAGATCTTGGATGGCGCACAATTTTCAACCTTCTTGGCCCGCTGAGTAATCCTCTCGACGAAGCCATTGAAGCACGTATGCTGGGCGTTGCGCGCGACGACCTAGGCTCCGTTTTTGCCGAGGCCTTGCGTATAGCTGGCGCGAAAAAGGGGCTTGTCGTTTGCGGTAAAGAACAGCTCGACGAGATCTCGTGCGCTGGACCTACCCTCTGCTGGCAGCTCGCCCAAGGTGAAGGCGACGACGTCAAGGTCGAACATTTCTTGCTCGAACCCAAAGACTTTGGTCTCAGCACACACCCGCTTAGCACCGTATCACCCGGTAAGCTGCCTCACGAAAACGCCGAGATATTGCGTAAGATTCTGCAAGACGAGCTGCCCGACGACGATCCCATCCTTGAATTTGTCCTTATGAACACTGCCGCCTTGTTTGTCGTGTCCGGTCTCTGTGAAGCCGATACTAGCGCCATGGGGTCGGGCGACGACGGCAAGGTCATCACGGAGAGAGGCCCCGGGAACGGACGCTGGAAGGAGGGAGTGCGGAGAGCGAGATGGACGATCAAGAGTGGCGAAGCATGGAAACAGTGGAATGCTTTCGCCAAAGTCACGAATACCCTACCGGAGTAATATTGGATTTAACGTATAAAATTGGAGATGTGAAGAACGCGCTGGTAGATTTATGACGGGACATACGGAACAAGGATTTATCAGCCTACGGAAAAGTTGTGTGAAGTATAGCTATATTTGTATACTTGCTGATTTTGTTGATACCTCCCCTTCACTTGTTTCGCTTTATAGAGTTAGCATATTGCTCTCGACTAGACTCAAGATACAAAGTGGCTTACCAGAGTGACACTCATGTCTTCTACCTTATCTCATAAACAAATAATTCTCTTAGAAAACGCGCTAGAATAACATACCATTGTAATGGTTTCCAGGGTTTTTATTTAGCCGCGCATTATCGATATGATATCAGAAACGTGAACGGCGCAGCGTGTATAACGTAGTTACGATTTGTTCCCCAGCAATCGCGCACGTAATAAGTAGCTCAGGCACGAAATAAATACATGCTTAGCCACATCTAGCCACCGTCGACATACTGACAATACCAGCAATAAAGCATTTACTACTTGCTAATTCTATTTTACCTATGAACCAGATAAAAGAATCCAGAATTCGTAGAAAAAGACTTATCCAACCACACTCAAAAAAGAAACTAAAATAGATCACAACATGATGTCTCTCGATCGGGGAATCGAACCCCGGCCACCTGCGAATTTTTTCTGTCCGACTTTCCTCCCACCATTCTGGTGTTTGTACGATCGTGACCGAATCAATGACAAGCAGGTATCCTTACCACTAGACCAATCGAGATTTTTTCTGTGATCCCATGTTTTAGTGACCGCTAGTTTTCGCTCTATGACTAGCTCTCACGAACAGTTTTTTTTCCCCAAGTAAAGATGCCCTCAAGTTCACTACTATCGTGTTAATTTAAAGACTAGCTACGGACTAGAGGTGTTGGGCTTTCAATCGTCACTGCTTGGTGCAGAGAAGTTGGGGAGAACTACGCTGTGTACTTTTCATATGGGAATTCATGATCTACAAGTGCTTTCTTCGTGGGCTGCTAATATATTAAGAAAGGAGTTGAATATTTGGGTTTGGTTTTACACTTCTCTAGCTGTAAATTTATATGTCGGGTCTTACCCCGAAGCCAGACACCCGTAATAATCATATACAGGTACGTTGACACGACTGAGAGCCGCGTCACGAACCGCCTATGCCACCTTTGTCTTTGAGCCTAACCACCAGGTAGCCATGCATACTACGTTCCTAACTCCTTGCTTTCAAGGCTCTGGGTAGTGTTAATGTTTCCGGCGGTTATTATGCTGGTTTCCACGGCCTCTCCTCCCTCTTCGATAGCGATGAGGCATATCCTACCTAGACAACACGCCACGAACAGTCCCCTTCAGCGTTGGCTTTCCCTCGAATACGCGCTCGCTAATGCCGGTATCGCCTCCACTTCCAACTTCTAGCCATCGTGCTAAGAGGTCGTTGCTCTCCTTTGGTTTGACATTGCTATCCCGTGTTCCGACGGTGATGTGTGTCACCTTATTGACGCAGGTCCATTTGCCCTCTGGGTCCACCAGCCGTACCACAATAGCCATGATGCGATCATCGAACACGACGCGTTCAAGCATGACTTCACACTCACCAAGCTTACTGTCTTCAGACTGGCGCTCAGCTTCGAGCGTAGTGTAACGTTGCCATAGTTCAGGATGATCTTTGGCACTGAATTTGTGCATGAGGGTGACGTGAAAAAGGGGTTGGATGCGCCGTGTCTGTTGCAGCTGCTTGTAGAATCGCTGCATTTGTGGATCAACACTTTTGAAAGCCGATTCCAGGGCCACATTGACTTCTTTAGCCGGGACCGATACAGACATATACTCGAGCGGTTTCTTTTTATTGGGGTTATGGGGCTGCTGAGCTTCTGGTCGCTTCTGGTATCTTGTATTTGTACGATCAGGTATCGTGTGTTTTATATCGGGTGAGTATTCTTCGATGGCCTTCTTGACGGCCAAATCCATGTCCTCTGGACTTGGCATCTCCTGGATCAACAGTGGATATTTGTTTTTCAGCTCGTTCACCACTGTTTCTACGTTGACGCGACTTTCCTGGGTAGGATCAAGGTCGATCACAAGGTCGAAACCATAGTCCGGGCTGATTTCCGGGTCGCAAGGCTGGAATCTGGACATGAAGTTTTCCATAATACCGATGACTTTATTCTCATCTGATGCTGCTTGAATGGTCTGATGGTTATTACCGCGTTTCAGCACCCGGTCTCTTGTAACTCTTCTAACTTCATCCATGTCACCATGACCGAAATTCAGAGCGACAAGCCGGGCATCTTTGTGCTGCATCTGAATGTCCTTGATGATCTGCTCACGCTCTCGACGCTCCGCATTATTTCGGTCAGCAATAACAACTGGATGATCAACTAAAAGAGACATGACAGCCTGAGTCATTTTCGCGGGTCGGCCCTTGCCCTGTATATTGTCGTTCTGGACGATACCCCAACCGAAAAGATGGGCTAAGGCTACACCGATGGTTGTTTTGCCGCATCCAATAGTCGCAATCGGCACAAGGACAATGTCGCGCGCCACGGTCGAGGTTTCCTCACCGGCTATGTTCTCAACATTAGCAGCATCGGACCCTTTCATATGTTTATAGGCTAGAAAGTCGTCGCGAAGAGAAATGATGCCGTGATTTTGGTTGTACAGCTTGCCTAAATTTGGATCTTTGCTTAGTCGCTGGCGGGCATAAAGCAAGTACTCCTCGGTAATCTTCTTATGCTTCTTGAACTTGGGGGGTTTCCCGGCGATGAGAGCTTTAGTGCATTCTCGCCACTGGCGATACATTAGATATGGCTCTTCAAACTTGTATTTGAAGAACCAATCAATGTATCGATCTTCTTGACGTGAGTTGATTGCACAACGGATAACAAAACCTTCAACGTCTCGACCCTCGTGCGCGCCAGATTCAGCAACCTGTTCCAGGAATGTTTTGACCGTATCGACGTCATCAAACACTTGCAGGCCAATTTTTCGGAAGCCCCAGTCATCTGCAAACTGTTGTACTAGATTGCTGGGATAAGTCATGAACTCCGGGACATTAACGTTTATACCGTGGAGATACAAGCCGGCCTTATCCGGCCCATAGGCTAGAATATGCTCCTCGAATTCATCGTCGCACAACTCGGCAACTGCTGTAACGTTTCGCTTCCGCAACTCTTGAGCGAATTCCTCCTTCGTTTTTCCAATGGTCGCCAACTGTTGCTGTACCCATCTCTCACCGGCACTGGCATGGCTCAATTCCACATCGCTTCGGTCTCCAGTTGAATGCTTGCTGCAAATGAGCAAGGTGCCGTCTTCCAAGCCGCTGATGAAGATAATGCAGCCATTTTCTTTTAGAGTGAGTTCGTAGGGCCCGCGTGTCTGGCGTCGAATGCTATCCCAACTGGTTTGGGAAACCTCATCAATATTGAAGAATTTATCGTAGCCTCTCACGGCTATCTCGTGGTCTTTGCGGCGGTTTCTGGTTGTGAAGAGACCACGCGCATAGGTAGGTAGATGGCCCTTTTTGTAGTCCCAGTCTTGGAAGCGCCATGAGTCGACGCTCAGGCCATCGGGCGACCCAGTGATCTTGTAGGTCGTCTTCTTGACCTTGAAGCCTTTCTTTCCCTTGCTGGACCCACTGCTTAATGTTTGAATGAGTTGTGAGACCTGCTGAGGGTCCTGTTCGCGGTACGGAGCCTGGGGAGGATCCATTGTGGGTTGACGATGATGGGATGAACAGCTGAAAAGGCGAATAGTGCTAGGTAGCTGCCGCCGTTGCAAGGCTGTATGAGTGTACCGACCTGTCGAAGCCGCAGCTCCAGATGTGATAAGTGCAAGAGAGGTAGTGAGAGAACTGCGGGCGTAGGAGTAAGTTAGTCGACCGTTCGTCTGTGCTACCAACAGTTGGTTACCAACAGTCACGGGGCCTGTTCCGTAATTGGGCTGGGGCAAACAGTAGGACAGGGCGGGGATAGGACAACACGGGGAAAGAGCAGAGAAAAATTGCAGAATTCGGATGCTTTTATGCAGTCAAGATAGTGTATTTTATATGAAACACTGCAGGTGCAATTATATGAGTACAGATGGAAGGCATCATGTACGCTGCAAAGTGAGAGCTGTAGATCGAAAATACCAACTCCTACCTCCTCAGGGTGACTCTTGCCGACATGAGTCACTGGAAAGCTGGCACTGCCTGCCGTTGGGCTTTCCTGGGACTGGCGCGCATGGAAATGACAGGAACTTGAACAACCTTGAAGTTTTATTCTGTCTTGACGAAACACATGCCAACAATGCTCTTAAGAGATAAAATAGGAGATTGTGTCATAAAGAGGGAGAATCTCAAGCAGTTGGTTTGTGACGACCTTTCAACAAATTTGATACCTAAGACTAATTCAGACAGGTATGTACACATGCATACTGAGTACGAAGTACGTACATGTATGTACTGTACATACCCTGAGAGGTAAGTTAGGTGCCATTACTCTGTACAGTACTGTACATAGTGTGGGTACCCGGATAGTCGCTATCTTAGGTAGTCTCAGCCGCAACTCTGCGCTGAATCTGCCTGGGTTTGGTGGGGCAATGCTGTCGGGTCTGATATTTCCTGCTACCTAGTAGCCTACGAAGTACAAGTACCCTACAGGATGCACCATGAGCCCCTCCACAAAAAAGTTGAATTGGGTCGCATCACTGGGATTGAAGCTCTCTTCTATTCTACCCCTCGTTACGTATGATATCTCAGTTTTAGTCCACTGAATCGTCGAGTCGATTGATAGAGCTGCCTGAAACCAAGCGGGGGGTTTTTCTTTTCTAGAACCAGCGTAATGCCAGCCAATCCTTTTCTTCTCGCCGCTGACAACAGCCCGACGCTTCTGCCCCTCCTGCGCGAACACCCGGCCCTCGCCAGCCAACAAGACGAGCACGGCTACTCCCTAATCCACGCCGCCGCTAGCTACAACCACTTGGACCTTCTCCGTGCGCTCGTTCAGGAGTTTAAAGTTGACGTTAATCTACGCGATGAAGACGAAGAGACTGCCCTGTTCGTTGTTGAAACAGTCGATGCCGCCAAGGTCTTGATTGAAGAGCTTGGCGCCGAGCTCTTGTCGAAAGGTGCTGATGGCTACACTGCTCACCAAAAGATTGCTGAGGAGGGCGATTTCCCAGAAGTTGCGGAGTATCTCAAGCTCAAGGAGGCAGAGTGCACCCGAGATCTACCGAACGGCGCCAATAGCGAGCCCGCACATCAGAATCACGGCTTGCCACCTCCGCCCGAGGGGCTTAGTATCTCTGTCAGCACCATGACGCCAGCGCAGGATAGCGAAGTCGAAGTCGATCCCGAGTTCAGGAGGAGAATACAGGAGTTGGCGCAACGTGACGATTTTGATAGCGAAGAAGGACAGGCTGCGCTCAGGCAGCTTGTCCAAGATGCGGTCGCCGACAGTAACCTTACCGACCGGAATGTCCGATCTCGTCAAGACTGAGCGTCAAAGAAGCCAAAGTGATCGTTCATATCGCAAGACGGCGCACGCGCTCGTTATGCTCCTTGATCTCCCAGAGAACATATTCTCCTGGGCTGCTCGGTGGCCTCAATATGGTGCAATCTCCGCCACACCTTATGCTATCGCAAGTGATTGGGGTGGCGCTGAATGAGAACCATGCCTTCGGTGGGAGTGTTTTGATCAAATTTGCCAAGGTCGTTGCTACCCATCTTGGCGGTATGAATCCCTGCCAGCTGATCTTGCACAGCTGAGCCTCATCTCC